GCGGACAGCGCGCCTACAAATTCCCAGTGGCATTGGGAAGCATTACAGAATACCAAGAGCTATTTCAAATAAAGTTTGAAACTGCTCTGCAGTTCTTAAAATACAAGCTTTTTTCAATTTCATGCAACCGTAAAAGTAAAAACAAAAATATGATCTATTTAACTCTGAAAGCTACTGTTACAGTCTATGGCTTTATAAATAGCGGCTTGATATTGGGAGTAAAATGCCTGGTTTCCCACAGTAACAGCACTGGGGGAGAACGTGCCGAACAGCCCCATATATCATCATAAGAGTTCAATATCCAAGACGTTTTCTGTTCACTGTGGCTGAATTCAGAGAATGAAAAGATAAGGTTAGCAAAACACAGCAGAGATTACTTGTCACTTTAAAGCATCTCCCTGCGTTAACTGTTTTCTGTTGTAAGCTCTGAAGTACCAACACGTTTGCCCAGACTCCGCGCTGAGAAGCAGCAGCTGAACAGCTCAGTGATAAAGTACACAATAACTCAAGTGGGTGCCAGCTACAAGTGCTCTCAAGTATTATGAATATACAAAGTCAAGTCCAGTCACTCCGAAAGCAAAGAGCTATCAGCTCATGTGGAAGAAGAGCCAGATAGAAAGAGAGTTTCATAAGGTAACATCGCTTCCTGCACAGTGTAATGGAGCTGAAAAGAGAGGGGCAAAACAATGCGGAGGGCAGAAGCAAGCTAGGACATTTTAAATCTTTGAATTAATTTTGGGAGCCAGCTCCTCTCTCCTGCCTCACTTCTTCCTGCACTGCTCGGGGGGGGGGGCTGAGTCAGTTCTATTCCCTTGATCCTAGGCATCCTTGGTATGGGAGACGGACTACAAGCGTAGAAAGGTGGAAGTCAGGGCTGCAAATCCATGCTCGCCAGTAAACCTGGGAGCAGCCATCAATCAGCAAGAATTTTGTCTAACTCATTTTGGTCCCTCAAGGGTTTCCAGGCTCAAGCTTCCCAAGATTTACCTCTCTACGGTCTACCAAAAAAATGTCAATATCCCTGCATAAGCAAAACGAGAGATGAGCCAAAGACCATCTACTACCTCGAATGGACAGTCTGTTCTAGAGAAGTGTAAAAGTTAGCTGCAGCGAGCAGCGGTCCCCTAAGCTCAACAGAGAACTATGTCACAGTCTTCTGTTGCTCCTTTCTCCCAGGCTGCCTCAGTGAAGTAAACTATACTGAAAAATTTTCACGGCGTCAAACTGGAATGAAAAGTGATTTCAAATATTATGTTACTAAGCAGTAGCACACTGTTGGAAAATAAAACATAATTTATGTCTCAGCACAGATATGGAGTCTGTTAAGCTACTCCCAGAGAGCACTTCTAGAGCACAAAGTAGAACAGAGTTATTACTGAGATGATTAGCAACTAAGTACGTTTTCTTTGCATGCTTTTTACATCTCAAAGATAATCCAATGAATATGTATACCAGCTAAAGATTGCGGGTATTCAGCACTGCAGTATTGTAATATAACAGAGAGAGAGGGTAAATACAGTCTCAAAAAACATAAGGGTATGAGCGAGATCACTTTTTGTCTACCTAATAACAAAAAATAGGATGTTTTAAAGCATTCCTAATATGTTAAGCTGTAACTTTCAGATAACTACATGCACATAGAGCAGCGCTTACATGATGCAATTTAAAATACCATATCAGAACATAAGAAATGCCATACTGGGAACCAGTGGTCCATCTAGCCCCATACTGTGTGTCCGACAGCTAACATTTAAGGAAAGCACATAACTCTGGCTGCTTTCTTCAGTCCTTTTCCTTTGAACTCCGGCAGCATGCAGAACCCCATGTCCAGCTGCAGAGACCCTGGCTATCTGCTGAAGATGACTGCCACTTGAAACATCAGAGATGGATACAAGAAGAAACTCTACAGTTCTATTCAGTTCCAATAGAGGTATTATTTTAATGTAGAATTTTAAAAAATTCAATACATTTTTCTAAACCACTGCAGGTCTACCAGAAAAGAAAACAAAACTAATTTTTGTCACTGAATCCTTTTAGACACATGAAGTATCACGGTCTTCGTTTACTGCCCTTTTATTAGTCACTGTTTGGCTCAAAACATTCTTCAGTATTGTGGATGTAGAGGGAACTTATGCTCAGGTAATAGCATAATTTAACATCGTTGTTCAAGTTCTCTGCAGATCTTGCCAACTTTTTCCAATAAAAAAATAGAAAAAATAGGACGTATTATTCTAGTTTTTGCTGCACAGAAGGTGAACCGCAGCACAAAGAAGCAAGTCAGAAAAGAAAAATTCCTGATAAGGCTGACTGTGCATTGTAAAGAATTGGTGAAAAATTCAGGCAAATTTTGTTTCTGCTTCATGGCTTTCCACGTTTGCAAACTTAGATCTAAACACGGCACACAAGGATAAAAATAAACAAACAACTTTTTCCCTGGATAATGTTTGCCCTCCAGGACACACACTTGATGATACAGACTGTGTAGTAAAGAGAGTGGAAGCTGGAGCCAGAAGGTTATCAAAATAGTCACCTTTGTCACACATGGCAAAACGCAACATTACCTTATTAGAGTGGGTTTCAGAACCTTGCCTTTTCAAAACCTGTGAAACATTCCCTACCTTGTTGCTTTGAAAGCACAGATACCAGAAGTCATCTTAAAATGATGAATAGAAATCGTTTCCTTAATCAAGATTTTAACAATTGCACATTGCCATATCATCTACTTTGCCCTACAGACAGGAAAATTAAGATCTGAGCAGGTAACTACTGGAAAACACTGTCCGCCACAGTACCTCAATCCGGCAAAACGCTTCTACATTTGCTTTAAATTAAACCTTCAGTGATTCCACTGAGCTTTGAGTTTGAATGATTTGTTAAATCAGAGACCTGAAGTAATAAATGAGAATTCAAAAAATATGGCTTCTTAAATTCTAATCAGCATTATTTAGTTTTTCACCCTGCCAGATAGATACATTTGGGAACCAAAATTAAAACCTCCAACTGGAAGTATTTTACAAGAACCTCAGGAAAAACAAAACATCATAACTTTCTCGCACTCCCAGTGGCAGAAGAGGGCATCCATAATGAGCACAGGCAGGCCAGGATAACACACACCAGGTTAAGTGCTAGCAGACTCCCCAGAGCCAGCAGACATCAGTACGGCTCAAGTTAAAAAAGCACTGCATTCAAAAAGGCTCCACAAAGGCTCCTGGGGCCAACCCACGGCTGAGAGAACGCTCTCCCTGACTTGTGCCTGTGCTACGCTAAGCACTGCACGCATTTAAGATGACGGTTCATTTCCAAAAGCTGTCTCATGAAGCTACCATGATCCAGGAGCACTCAAGTAGAGTCATAAAGCTTCTGACATGGGGGAAGAAAAGGCTACGGTATTTTCTGTTCTCTGAGGTAAAGAAGCTTCTTGAATTTATTGATTCATATCTGCACAAGTTTACAGGCATTTATCACTTTCTTCTCTTTCCAGATAAGAACCAAAAGAAATCCCAACTACATAACCTCAGTCTTGCTACATACAGAAAACAATACAAGATGTACAGCCCCAGCTATCACAAATTGGACTGGGAAGATTTTACCACAGATTATTAGCAATGTAATGGAGAACAAATACGCTCTCCTACATTAGACAACCAAAATGTTCACTTCCTAACAGGAAACACAGATTATTCAACTGTAAGGATAGCTAGTATTAACCAATCTTTGAAGCTTAATTTTGCAATCTAACTCTGCCAGCATGATTTTATGGTCTACAAATGCACAGTCCAATAACAATGCTTACCTTGGATACTAAAATATCATTTTGAAATGATCAATAGCTGATGTTTACTCAAGAGTTCACAGTACACTGATCCCTTGTTTTCAAGCTGAGAAGATGCAAGGGAAGCAAATAGTGCAGTTGCATGTTTATGTTCTAACATCTAAGTGTGTTTTCAGCAGTTGTAAAACAGTGTAGCTCCATGAAAATCAATCATTTGATTTCGTCTTATGATCATGGTGTCTCTGGCCTCAAAATTCTACCATAAGATTATTTTTCACTGAACATAATTTAGGAATGTAAACTAAGTATTCTCTCGCCTTAATTACAAATCGGGAGTATGCACAACTAGAAGGCAGTTTATTGTCAAGATCCCTCGCTATAAACTATTTTAATGACACTCAATTCTACCACAATGACAATTCTTGTACAGCTGCCAAAACAAACACAGTTTTATATATGTTTTCCATTCAACATCTGATTGCTTTAGATTCGTATCAATACATAACTGGCAGACTAAGTAACTATGGTGGAGAAAAAAGTATCATAAAAAGGATGAATTGTTATGTTTTATCACAATGAATTAGAGATGTCTGTATATTTTGTTTGTATAAATACAAAGTGTTCAGAAACATGATAGAAATCATAAAAATTATAGTTTAAAATTATGCCTGCAACAATGGTTTTATTAGGAATTTTAGGGAGAACAATTTCTGTGATTGGTGAGAACTTCAGCAGTAACTTGCAAAAGAACACTTTGGACAAACTGTGAATGCTTCACTCCTAACTTTACGCACTGACTTGCACATTTAGTCCCATTCCTCATAAAGGTTTTCACCACTGTGAATCTTTATTTTTAGTTCAGCTGAAGATATATTTTTCTGAAGACAAGAAGGCTTTTTATAATAATGCATTTCAATGGAGTTGAATGATTCTAGCTACTCAGGCTTAAGTTTTGAAGTTTGAGGATATCTGTTTAAATACATAACTTAATTTAAACAGTGACTCACTCTTTAAAAATTCAATGACATCTCCTGCCTTGGTCTAAATTAAATACAATTGAAAGAAACTGAGCGCTGAAAGAAATCCTCCATCGCTATATTTAAGAGAAGGGAGAGTCACGCAACTCCAGGAGATAAACTTTTACCTTGAATATTTTTATCAGTATCCAGGGATCTCTCTTTTTCCTAGAAAATAACACCTTTATACTGGAAAAACAGCAGTTCCTTACCTGGAAAGAGTTCATGCAACGAAGTGAAGGTGGCAGAGAGGTGGTACTCAAACTCAGTATTAGCAGTAATTCCAAACATGTTGCTGATGGAAACGTTAAAGGATGAACTCCAATATCATTTTCCCACGCATCAGCAAGGCTGTAAATTAAAAAAAAATATATAGTGTTTTTACATTTATTCTAAAACAAACAAGCAAAACCACAATGCCTCCACTTTTTATTTTGTTTCTAGTGAAAAAAAGAGCGCCCTTTCACTTCTGAAAAGAGAAGAAATCAGGAGTGATCTTGCAAATTGATGTTTATGATGCTCTCACTTGAACCTTACTAATAGTCCACACTCAATCCCTTCACTTAATATAGCCTTCTGCTTTTGAAGTATGAAAAGAATTAAGATTTCCAGAGCTAATCACATTTATCCTTTAAAACAACATTCCAAAATTGTATCTCTATAGACCGTTCCTGCTACCACATACTGAAGAACAGAAAGATTAGTTTAGCAAGATAACTCAAATCATAAGCACATTCCACTTCCTATTGTTCAGCAGACCGGTTTCTTCCTTCAGGTAAGAAGTCAGACTGATCAGTGATCCAGTTGGTTTAGTAAACTGTAGCTGAGCAGCTAGTATGCGATACTCCAAGTAAGAGGAAAGCCAATTATTCTCAGCTCAGGGAGCATCACTTTGGAAGACAATGACGTTTGCTACCCTACCATGTCCGATACTTGGGGATTTCAACACCTAATTTGGGCATCAGCTTTCATTTTTAAATTCCTCCAGCTCTCCTGGAAACATACTATTCAACTGACTGAACTGCTGCTCTTGAACTCACCAACTTGTTTTAATATCTCATCTAGAAATAGATGAATTTTTATAAGCATCTAAAAGACTAGCCATCATCCCAACATTCACCATGGTGAAAACTGAGCAAATACTCTCTTCACAGTATTTGGATGGTTCGTTCTCATTCTCTCAAGTCTACCAAACCCATTAATTCTCTGCAAAGGCCTGCTTCTTAGACATATGCTTGCATATGCATCTTTTGTGCATATTCTCCCACTACTAACTGTTCCTATCACCTTCTTAGCTCTTCTAGAAGATGTTTCACTTAGCATAATTTTCATATCTTTCTTCAAAGACCGGGTGTATTTTCACTCTCTTAAATTGGGCTCCCGAATTTAGTTCTGCTTCAGTACACAGAAGGAAGCCCCATAACACACACAAGGTCAGAGGGGTCTCCACTTCCCCTCAAAAAAAAAAATTTTTTTTAAAGAGTGCTTTCTCTTTTTTTTTTTTTCTAAATCCCCAATGAAAGACAGAATTGTATCACTTCTGAATTACCAAACATCTTTCTCATTTCCCACCGAGTAAGTGGGTCCCTGTGACATAAGGAGCCCTAAACTGTTTGGAGGGAAGGAGAAGCAGGGAGGGCTGTCTGGGCCAGGCAGCCTCCAGTATTCTTAATGACAGGGCATCATGTAAGCTCTCCACACACAGCTGATGATACCAGACCAAAGAACAGAGGCCAAAACCTGCTGCACAAAAACAACCTTCATAATCACAGAATCACAGAATCACAGAATCGTTTAGGTTGGATGGGACCTCTGGAGATCATCTAGGCCAACCTCCCTGCTCAAGCAGGGTCCTCTAGAGCATATTGCCCAGGATCACATCCAGGTGAGTTTTCAATATCTCCAGGGAAGGACACTCCACAACCTCTTTGCGCAACCTGTTCCAATGCTCTGTCACCCTCACAGTGAAGAAGTTTTTCCTCAGGTTTAGGTGGAACTGCCTGTGGTTCAGTTTCTGCCCGTTGCCTCTTGTCCTGTCGCTGGGCACCACGGAGAAGAGACTGGCCTCATCCTCTCGACACTCCCCCTTCA